TGCATTAGACTACTCAAAATTGAAGAGGAATTTAAGCATAAAGAAAGAATCCTTTCCCTTTTTTTTTTTAATGAAGGATGAGTCTGTGTAAATGTCTTTTAAAACAGTGGGTGCTGATTTTCCTAGCAACATGTCTCAGTGCTCAGGATGAGGAGATGATGTTATAAACTGTTTTAGATTTATCATATCTTTTTCTTTTACTTCCAGTAAGCTAGTTTAAGCACATGCTGGAGGTGTATTACAAAGGAATTTTCCTAAAAGATAGATGAGGATAACAGTGACTACCAAGATGCTACACCAAGGCAGGAGATGAAGCCAAGGTGTGTACCCCCAGAGGATTTGTGAGATTTTTTTTTTTAATTTGATTTATATGCCGCCCTTCTCCAGAGACTCAGGGCGGCTTACAATGCGTTAAGCAATAGCCTTCATACTTTTGTATATTTATACAAAGTCAGCTTATTGCCCCCACAAACTGGGTCCTCATTTAACCTACCTTAGAAAGGATGGAAGACTGAGTCAACCTTGAGCCTGGTGAGATTCGAACTTACAGTAATTGCAGACAGCTGGTGTTAATCACAATGCTTTTAGTCTGCTGAGCTATCAGGCCCGGTAGAGATTGGTGGTTGAAATTGCGAGCCTTTCAGGCTACACACTCAGCCCTGCTGTTACAAAACATACCGAACAGTTTATTGGGAACCTGGAAAAAATGGAAATTGTTGGCCTCTTGACTGCAACATCCAATATAATATCTGCACTGGAGGATTTCACAGATAGCAGCACATAATAACTCTGTTTGTAATAGTTGCTTGACTTGATAATTGTTCAGTTACAGGTTACAAACAAAAAGAAAAATTTACTTAATAATCTTGAATGTTGTGTCTGATTCTCCTACTCAAAAATTATTAAAATAACAGTGTTAATAAGGGCAGTTACCTGTTGGTGCAGGTATAACAAGAGTGAGTGGTTAATCATGCTGTCCACCTGTTGAAATGAAAGCTAATAGAAAAATGCTTGAACATGTTGTTAGAGACTAACTTGAAGAGCTGAATTTTAAAAAAGTATACTAAGGAATCCTTTCCCTACTCTTATATTACTAAGCAAAACAATGTGTACAACTCTAACCAGCAATTTTCAATTAATTCCAAATGGAGCATTTTTACAATTTTACTACCTTTTAAAAAGGGAGATGTTGTATTCAGAACATTATCTTCAGATCTTAGCCTTCCATATTATTTTTATAATTTGGCCCCTGATTGCTGGGTTTTATTTGTTATGCTCTCCTAGTGGTGCTGTGGCTGTCATTGATACAATAATGTTAATCTGGAATGAAATAGCTTATTGAATGTTTTGCATGAGACTACTCAAAATTGAACTTCTTTTATTTATCATCTTAGTAAATTAATGGATGATTTTTGCATGACATTTTATTAAGTTGATTATTAGCCTTGCATTAATAATATATGTATACTGGTTGTTTTGATTGAACACTGTATATCCTGCCATTTTTCTTCTTACAGAGGTCCAGATACTGTTCTAACACATTACCTATTACATTTTTGGAACATATTATGAGAATAAATGAATTTCCCTTAACTTTTATTTCTTGGATTAAAATTATTGCTTTTGCTGGACAGTGAAAATGGCTCAATTGGAACATAATTGTTATTGTATATTGAGTATATTTGAGGTCTTATTAGCAATTATCAAAGCTCTCAATTTTTGTGGGTGTTATACAATAATGTTGCACATTTTCTCGATAAACTGAAAGAAATCTAATGTGCTGCCAATTGGCAATAATGATTTTGTGAAAATATGGCAAAAAAATGGGTGTGGTTTATTGTCGGGATTCTTAGGAATAATTTATCAGAAAAATATTTTAATTAGTAAATGTCAAAATGGTAAACTGTGAAGTTCTGAGAGACTGGAGAAAGGAAACATGGAAGAAATGCTATTTAGGTGAGAAGACATGATGCAGTCCAGATGTGAAAACTGCGGGAAGGAAGGACTTTGAAGAGTTTCCATCTGAATTAACTCACTCTGAGTCTGAGTGGAATTCACTCTTACAGTTTTCAAGATTATTTTCTTACTTCAGGCTAGCATTATATAAACGTTTCTGAAATTTGTGTGCTTTTTGAATTCTTGGTTTGCCAGCTATATAGGGTGTAACTGTGACAATAACACAGATGAAAAATGATACTCATGGGTGGTAGGAAATGCCCATGTGTTTTTTGGGGCAAATTACGTAAATTAATTTAATGTCCAGTATGTATTTTAAGAAGGATACCTATATAAATTCCATTTCTATAAACCAGTATAGTTGAAATTGATTTTCATGGATCAATCAGACTATGAGATTCTTTCTTTCTAAATTACAGCTGTATGACAAAAACAAAACAAAACAGTATGACAAAAAATGTTGAGATTCTGGAAAGAGTAAAGAGAAGAGAAACAAGAATGATTAGCGGGGCTGGAGGCTAAAACATAGGAAGAACGTTTATCGGAATTGGGTATGTCAAGCCTAATGAAAAGAAGGAGTATCGAGACATGATTGCAGGGTTCCAATATTTGAGGGGCTCCTACAAAGATGAGGGGGGTCAAACTATTTTCTAAATATTCTATGTTCTATGTATGAAGATGAATTTAATTTTACAGAATTTGAAGCAAATACATTTCTGTTTCCTTTGGAATGTGTTAGCATTTGAACATTGTGTTATTATGAGCATTATTAGCTGCCCAGAGTTGCCTTATCCAGGAGATGTGGGGAGGCATATAAATTTAATAAATAATGAATAAATGATTAGAGTGATATTATTTAGATCCTTTGAAACAGTAGGAGGTACTGGGATCTAATTACAGTAGGAATTAAAATGTGTTGTCCTTAAGGCAGTAGGACATATTTAGATGTTATTGGAAAAGCAATTTAATTCTGACTTATTTACTGAGAGATTAATTCTCTGGAATATTCCTTATTTAAAGTTAGTGGATAAACTTTTTGTTTATTATTTTGGAAATCTAAACCAAAAATGTGGTTAACAACTTTAGATTTGCTTCTTGCTGATTGCTTCTTTAAGACTTTTGGAAAATTACAAACAGAATAAAGTGTATCTAATTATTGATTGGCAATATATTTAATTAAACTATTCGTTATATTCCCAGTCTGGGCTTGATTTATTTGTAGTCACAGAAATTTCTACAGTTTTGAGTGTATTATATAACCTTTTTTTTTTAAAATAAAGCCAGTGATTTAGTTACATCAACAGATGGAGATTCTACGGAGATAAAATATTGATAATTTGAAATTTGCAATAAATAATTGAAATATTGAGTTCTAACAAATCTATGGTATTGCATTTTTAAAAAAGTCATATATATCTTTTTTATTTTAAAATGAAAATAATCCATTAAATTTTTTTATAGGGGTTCATTAACATCTTGATGCTTAAAAGGGGTTTGTAAACTGTCTTTTTATGTTTTTGAGTTAGAGATAAAGTTGAAAGTATGTTTATACATATGATTTTCATGCTATTCCACATTGATTGAATTGTTGAATTGTCAGTATTATTATTATGGATATGTTAATGTTGTCAATTAATATTTAAAACCATATTCCTAAAATTTGGAATCTATTTCCATATGAGCTTTGGATCTAGCACATCTAGATTGTTGCAAAAAAAGATGAGTATGTCTTCTTGGATTGATGCTTGTAGAATAGATACTGATGATTGCTTGACAAAATGTGGGCACTGTCAGCCTTTGAAGTGGTTCGTTATCAATATAATAGACAGGTAGAACAATATGATTCCAAGGTTTAATAAAGTATCCCTGTAAAAATGTGTGACAGCATTTAATGAGAAGCATTTAAAAATTTATGTGTTAAATCCAATTCTGTGTATGTGTGTGTGTATACGTGCATATACCTTCAAGTCACACTGATGATTGCCTGGGCAACTCCCTGTAGTTTTCCACCTTGGGCAAGATGTAATTTGGGATAAAAGAAAAGGTTTGTATTTGTCAGTTGAAATCCGGCTAGGTCTGTTTGTCTAGGTTTTGAGTAGTACAACAAGTTCAATCCCAAAATGGGCAAATGATGTTCAATTGTATAATGGGAGGGAGCACTACTTCATAGGTATGTCTGTATTTATAAGGTTAGGGTATAATATTTTCTTGGAAACAATAAAGGACAAACTGAAAAAAAGGCAAATCTGAAAGAGGTTCATAAGGATAAAAAAGATTGTTTATAATTTTGCTTACAAAGGAAAATTCAAAGTAAAACCAACAAATACTTTTTTAAAAAAAATGCATATTCTAATAAAAATACCTAAAATCAAATTCATTTAAACAAGACAATTTCCATATTTTTCACAAGAATGAAATTCTTTTCAAGAATTTCTAAAGTAAAGGACTGTCCTTTATAATAAAAGATTTGTGGTCATTGTAGGTTAGGGCAGAGGTACAAGCTGTCTCTTCAGGTCAGTAATTACTCCCACATCCCTCAAGCTATTCACTCTCATTACAGGGATGGTTGTGGATTCACTCAGATTGCTAGTCCTGGTATGAGAATCATGAACTTGTCCCAGAACTGAATGTCTTATTTTCTTCCTTCTTTCTTTTCGTTTGTTGATCTCTTACATTTAAGCCAGTTGTAAGGTAATGCATTTAATATAATTAAAATTTAATGGTCACAATGGCTGAATATTATTTCCACAGAGAAAATCAAGTTAGCTTGAATTAAAAAAATGCAAGGAGGAAAACTATTTTTGCATTAAGACCTTGTTAGTTTCCTATCAGCATCTGCATAGCCATTGTGGGAATAGAAACTAGAGTAAAATGGCCTTTGGCAATTCTGCAGAGCTCTCCTGAAGTCTGTATGTTTGTAGAAATGATAAGATATACAGTAACTGAACTGTTCAAACTATGAACTTGGTTGACAGATTTGTTTCCCTTTAGCTTGCAAAAAGATATTTCTAGACATAAACACTTCCTTTTTTCTGCTTCCATAGGGGAAAATGCAGCGTTGCCCTTCTGAATGAGACAGAGTCTGTATTGTCGTATCTTGCCAAAGAGGTATATAATTGGTTCACTTATCAATATCCTTTTATTCACATGTTATTGAGTATTTCATTTTTAACAGATTGCTGTAAAACCAAACTGTAATTTTGCTTAATAGTATATTGCTGTTATAAAGGTGAAATGGTTTGGTATTTGTTTTATTGTTTTGTGGTGTGGTAATTTGGTCTCCTGAATTATTGATGCTTTATTGAAATACTACTGAAGCTATTCATTTGATTTTCCACCAGTAACTTGCAGCTCAGAATACCAAAGGTGATTTTCTTAAACTAATACTTTTGTTTTGTTTCTCTTACTACTTATTAACACTAGGGTTATATTTAAATATGAGAGAGCTGTTACTGGATGGACAAAGAGGGATCTTTGCTACTAAGAACAGGAATTTTACCTTTTCAACATTCTAAAGAAGATTTAAGATGAGCATATCTTTATATGCATATCCTTATAAGCATGACAACTAGAAATCTCAGTATTACACCATAAAGATTGTTTACCAAACCTATTTAGCAAAGGATTTAAATTCAGTCTATTAGGGATAATAAGTTTTTATGGTATATACCTATCAGCCTCTACTCATAAATTAATATCTGGCTCTCTAAACTTCGTACCAAATTAGCTCTTTGCACAAATTCTCATAGTAAAATTTGAAACAGATAATGTTTCATAACAGATAATATTTTTATTATTACAGATTTTTGAAGGACGTAGGAATATGATTCATTGGAACTTTTTGTTATTGTCCATAAGTATGCATAAACTGATAAATATTAAATATCTTGTATATAATTCTCAAAAACAATTTAAGTGCCCTTTGGTATATGAGAGAGTATGCCTACCTTATACCCCCCCACCCCACCCAATTTCTACAATGTCTTAGTAAAAAAACCCAGAACTAATTAATTGAATCCTCTGCTTTTTTATTCATAGACTAAAGCACTGTAATTCTATAGTCACTTTTGTGAGAATGAGTCCCTCTGAATTCAGTGAATGTCTTTCTGGATAAAATATATATATCATGTATTATTGCTATAGTAAAAATACTGCTAAAATATTTTTGCCTAAAGCTTGTTTTCTAAAATATTTATTTATTTATTTATTTATTTATTTATTTATTTATTTATTTTTCAATATTTAATAATTTAAAGAAAAGAGAAAGTGATTCTAAGCTATGCTGGAACTTAATACTTTTGGATTGGATCAAGATAGCCCATTCACATTGTGTTAAACCTCAGTTATTTTTAGAAGAGCTGTAAACATCAAAAGATATACTTCACAAGGCATTTTAGTGCAAATGAAGCACTACTTTTTGAAGCATTTAGGCAGCTTTGCCCTTTGCAAGCTCATTCAGGTGCTTAAAACTCTTCCTGCAAACACATTTTGCAAAGCACCTCTTTTAAATGCTCCACACAGTCTGAGTACTTAAAATAGGCTAATGGAAATTACTTGGACAGGTAAATCATAATAATTTAAATACAAGTAGTTGTTGACTTATAACCTAAAACACAATTGTAATATTTTGCAACCCCCCCCCCCATGGTCACATGATTGGGTTTTGGGACTGGGTCACATTTACAACTTTTTGCCAAGTGCCCTGCAATCATGTGATACCTATTTGTAATCTTCTCTACCTGCTTACCCAGAGAGTGCGTGGGAAAGCCAACAGGAAGGATTGCAAGCACAGAGGATCAAGGGGAACTAAAATAGCTCAGTGGCCTGCAAGAATGGAGCTGAAATACGAAAGAAGGATTTTCCCTCTGCACAGAGAGGAGCAGAAATTCCCTTAACAAGCTGCAGGAATGGAGCTGAAATCCTGCTGAAGGATTTTTCCTCCATATATGGAGGGGAGGAGAAATCCTTCAGTTGACTACAGGAACATCTGGCAGCAAAAAGGCTGCCAGCCAGGAGGATTTCACCTCCACACAGAGCTGAAATCCTCCTGGCAGGCAGCTTTTTCATCATATCCATTTAACAACTCAGGAGATTGCTTAATGACTGCAACAGTGAGTGTCAGGATTGTGATCGTTGAGTGAAACAGTCACATGTCTGTCTGTCTCTGAAATGCTTCACTCAACAACCAAGATTCTATAACTCAAATTTAATATCCCAAGGATCATTTTAGTATTATCTTTAAAAAAAACTTTTTAGTGGAGGAGGTAGCAATCGCCATGACTCTCCAGATTTGCTGAGCTTTGGAGCCTAGCAGCCTCAATCACTGTTTCTATCTTTCAGCTATTTAGACTCAGAACGTTTAGAAGAAGGGTATAGATTTTTCCCTGCTTTGGTTTTATTTATTTTATTCACTTTTCTCATTTTAGGATACTTTCTTTTATTCTCTGGTGTATGACCCATCATTGAAAACACTTCTGGCAGACAAAGGTGAAATCAGAGTTGGACCCAGGTATCAAGCTGATGTACCAGATATTCTCTCAGAAGGTAAGCATGCTATATTTATCATTTTCCAGTTCCAGATTTTATTGTAATTGATGCAGTTTTCAGTATTCCAGTTTGTAAGTAATCTGAATGTGTACCATGCGGATCCAAAGATGTTTTTTTTAATGGTTTAAACATCCAGTTTCTAAATAGAAATTTTAAAAAATACCATAATATCCCTGTTTTTCCTTGTGTGTTGGGTTGTTTGGTTTTCTTTTTTCTTTTTAACTTTTGATTTATTCTTTTGTATAATAAAACAATAAAAATAAACTCCAAAAAGTATGTTAAAAGTATGTTGCTTGATGACTTAGGTTACCAGTACATGGGTGTGTTTATCTTTATTTATTTATTGAGTTTATAGCCTGCCATTCATTCAGGAACCAAAGCTGTATACATAGCATTATTTCTTTAATTACTCTCTTCTTCCCCACACCTAACAATCACTCTGTGAGATAGGTTGGACCAAGAGATAGCAGCTGGACCCAAATCACCCAGTGGTGATTTCCGTGGTTGAGACTGAAGAAAGCCTGGGTCTCCCTGATTCTCATCCCATACTTTAGGACGGGGTGTCAAACTTAAAGCCCACAGCCCGGATACTGAAATCCGGCCTGCGGGGCCGGGGTGCTGAAATCTGGCCTGTGGTGCCAGCCTGGAAATAGCAAAGGACCAGCCTGCGGTGCCTCTGGCAGCCAAAACTTGTGGGGGGCCACATGAAGCATCCCGCACCCCGTTTTGGCCAGCAGGGTGCTGCAGGAGGCTGTCCAGGCCCAAAACGGGGCACGGGGGACCACGGCAAGGCCATGCACGGTCCCCCTGCGCCCTGTTTTGGCTGCAGGAGGTGTCTGTCCTGTCTCCCTCCCCCCCTGGCCGGCCTTCAGAGGAGAACTACAATGCTGATATGGCCCTTGAAGAAATCCAGTTTGACACCCCTACTTTAGGGCTCTTACAAGGCCATTCAGCCTGTGTCTAATTGGATGAATAGCATAGCTTGAACAGTACTTGTTTGTTAATATTCAATATTCAGGTTTAATAAAAACCTGAAAGAATGAACACAAATTTAAAATAGATATTACAATTTTTAAAAATATATTTTATTGAAAAAATTAATCCTCCCTCTCTCTCTCTCTCTCTCTCTCTCTCTCTCTCTCTCTCTCTCTCTCTTTTTAAACAAAAAGTCCATGAGGAGTTTCCAATCACTAATATATCTTTCTCTAAGCAAACAAGTTAATTTTACCATATCTTCTAGTTCATCATCTTCACTAACCATTCCTGTATTATAGGAATATCAGAGACTTGCCATTTTTTTACATATGTTAGTCTCACTGCAGTGGTCATATACAAAAATAGTCTTCCATGGCTCTTTTTTTAGTTGTCTGTCCATTAATCCCAACAAGAAAATTTCTGGTTTCAGTTGAATCTTAGTCTTCAGAATTCTTTATCAGGGTATGTATTTGAATCCAACATTTTGTGGCTTTTTTACAAGTCCACCAGACATTATAAAATAATCTTCAATGCCTCCTAGATTCTCAACATAAAATTTGAAGTTTATTTATAATTCTGGCTAATTTTTTGGAGTTATATACCAACAGTATATCATTTTATAAAAATTATCTTTTAATGTTATAACATAATGAAACTTTCAGTCCTTTCAACCATATGTTCTCCCATTGTTCCAACATTAATGGTATATCCAAAGGTGTTAGTCCATTTTATCATACACTTTTTCACTTGTTTGTTCACCATTTCAGATTTCAACAAAAGATTATGCAATTTGACAACTTCATGTTTATTTGTACATAATTCAACCCCCAATTTTATCTATAGTTTTTGCATGTTTCCTATTTCAAAATAGCGAGAAACTGCATTGCTTAATTTCAGCAACTACATCTCTGAAACTTTATAATGTAGTCCGAATTCTGAGATATATTAACAAAAGCAATGTGTGCCTGCATGCAGCCTTTAGGACACAGATTGGCAATTCCATGTCCTGTGAAATTAACTTTCGTGCTTGAACAAATAATGTGAAAGCTGTATGAAGAAATAGACTCAGTATATGTTTAAAGGATTTGCAAATCTTCTGGTTGCTGTACTTTTTCTATATAACAATGGATTTGTATAGATACCTATATTTGTGTGTACACTCTGGTGATATACTAGTTTTAGTATAATTGATTATGGAATATTGTGAAGATAATTGTCTATTGTTTCTCTGATGAAGCTAATTTTGAATTTTAGCCCCTAATTATAAATGACACTTAGAATTGTTTTTGGGTTTTTTAAAGTTAAAATTAGCATGATGGAAATCATATTATTGTTACAATTATTATTACAAACACCACACACACAGGGAATATATTTGGAACAAGTTCCCATTTGTGCATCTGGAAACTTTTTCTATTGGTATTTGCAAGGAACAAGTTTATATTTTTAGTCTTAATTGAAACTGACAAAAATGATTCAGCGATTCAAAAATTAGAACATTTTAAAATAAAAATGAATATTGGTATTTTTATGTGCTTCTTCATTTTAATAATAACAATAAAAATGAAATCAACCAATCTTGATTATGAGTTTCTGTAAAGAGCAAAATATTTTATTTATATATTATTTATTTATCAGATTTATTCCCTGCTTAATCAATCACAGACTGCTGACAATTTACAGTAATGATATGGTTAAATATAAAAATATAAAACATAATATCATAATAAAAAGGTCAATAACAATTTGACATGAATACATAAAAATTGAAAATTATATAGAAATAAAATAGCGGAAATGAAGGTGACATACTTCACATTAAATGTCCTCCAGAAAAATTCAGTCTTTAATATTTTTTTGCAATACCACTAAGAAAGGATCAAATCTGATTTCTGGGAAGAGACCATTCCACAGGACTTGGCACCGTAAAAGGAAAGCAGCACTTTCTGGCTCAGCTCTCATCACTTCATGAATTTAGAAAGCAATTAATAGTTTTTCCAGGAAGAATGTACCAGACAGGTAGATTCCACTTGGAAGAGACAATCCTTCAAGTACCTAGGTATCAAACAATGGTGCATGTATCTACCTTCAAGTCATGGTATACTCCAGGCAACTACCTGGACAAGCCCCTGCAGTTTTCTTGGCAAGATTTCAGAAATGGTTTACCACTGGTTCCTTCCCAGGGCTGTGAGAGAGTGACTAGTCACAGTTACCCAGCAGGCTTTGTAGCTATGGCAGGACTAGAACTCAAAGGCTCCTAGTTTCTACCATGATGCCTTGTATCAGATTGATACAACCACATAGGGCTTTATAAGTCAAAGCTAGCACTTTGAATTACATCTATAAACCTATACTTAGCCAATGTAGGGCATATAACAAAAATATTTTATGCTCCTTATAAATACCACCTGCTAGTAAGCAGCGCAACACATTCTGTTTCTAAGTCAGTAGAAGAGAATATATGTAGCAGAAATTTGAACTTTGGAGTCCTCGGTGCTTTCTGAGCTTGGTTGCTTGCTTTTAGATGTTTTATTACCCAACCAGATAACATCATCAGTGCATTGTTTTCAAGTTGTCCACATATGGAGCCTCGTGTAGAGCCCATTGCATTAGTCTAGGCAGGTATTGATTATAGCAAGATCCTTGGGCCCTAGAACTAGTGTACCAGACAAAGCTGGGCAGTTGCCCTCCAGATCACAAGCTTCATCTGCCATTCAAGCAATAAGAGGACACTCAAGATTTGGATATCTCTCAGGAGCCTTCCTCTCAAGAGACAACTCAGGGACAGACTGAAAACTATGATGAAACAAGAATAACTCCATCTTGCTCTAGAGACTCTCTTGAGCACTGAGAAAAGATCTTTGTAGCATCCCCCAATCAAGGAGTGTGAAGTATAATTGGATGATATCTGTCCTGAACCAAAGGGTGGCCTCTCCCTGAAACTTCAAATAGATATTAAACAATAGAGGAAGAATTGAATTGTCTGATACACAACATATAGATGGACATTGTCCAACCTCGCCTTCCTTATTACCAGAGATTGGGACTGCCTGATGAAGAAGGAACTGAACTATTGCAAAACAGCACTTCCAGTGTCCAGTGATCACAGGCAGTCCATATTGAATCATGGCCTGGTATCCTTTAGATGCGCCCCACCACCACCACAAGGGGGCCAGAGTAATTCAAATGATCTGCCCCCAGCAACTGATTGGCCCAAATGGGTTTCAGAGGGAACTGGCAGATATTCTGCTGAAGCTCTGGTTATGTCCTAGAATCAAAGGGCAGCTGAAGCTTTGGATAGGATCACATCTATGTGGCCTCTATTGACCCATTGCCCATGACATTCCCTATGGTTCACATAGAAGCTGTGGGTTCTGAAAAGGGCAAAGAGATGTCTAAAGAGCCGCTTGAGGAAAACAAGGGATGAATCTGAGTGGACATCCCAAAAATCCCAAAAATTAATTGATAATTGATAATTTAATTTATCAAATTTATACATTAAAACTTGGTCTAAAATATTAACTACAGTTTTAATTATTGGAAAATGTTATTGCTGGTTTCCTAAAATGAAAATACGGAAAATATTTACCTAACTCTCTAGAACAGTGATTTTTCCAACCTTTTTCCATCTCATAGCACACATCTCATATGTGAGATTTCTAGGTCACGAAACTGGAATTCCTTTGACATCACAGGTTTCTTGGGTTTGGAAGGAGAAATATAGGCAGTCCACCCCTGATGATGTCACGGTTCTGGCTGCACAAGTGTGCAGCACTTCCTGCTCCTTGTTGCAGTATACCTGCAGACCTTTCAGAGCACTCAAATGAACCTTGGCACAGTGACTGAAAACCACGACTCTAAAAGATAAGATAAAATTATCCTGCAAGGCTAACCATGACTTTATTTTATTTCCAATAGTAGACAGTTTGTGACTGTTTAATTTACTGGTAATTTTTTCAAGCAAAAAAAGACACTTGGCTATCTGGTTCTCTATCCATATTTATACAATCTCCAGAAAATGCTGATATGCCCAGAAAATGATAATAGGTGTTATAAAAGGTTTATTTTGAAGTGAAAGTCAAATTTTTAAAATGAATTATTTTAACAATGCAGCCTGTATAAATAAAGATTTACAACTTGAACTTTGCATATTGTGTTTTCATTTGCACAAGTCGGAGATGCACTGATGTTTGGTCGTTTTTTTCCTGCAAGAAAAATTAGTGGAAGTAAAGATCAGAGACAAGCTGTCTAGCCACAATCTAGCCACAGAAACAAAGATATGGATTACTGAACTGCACAAATATAGTCTAATTGCTTTTTGTTGCAAGGACAAATGACACTGCATTCAGGAAAAGCTATAAATTACTTTTATGTTGAATCTGTGACTAAGAAGCAGAGATCTATAAGTAATTAAGTTTGTGGAGTAAATATATAAGTACTGTCGGGACTGTGTTGAAACAAAAAAATTGAATGTAATTATGTGATTGTGGGTTGGATATCTATGAACTACTAAAACTCTTGTGTCTCTTTGTAATCTTCAGATGAGAAAAAGTGGAAGGTCTAGGCAACAGTAATTGAACCAGGATAGCTCAAGTGGGCTAATTTACAAAATGCTGATATCCATGACTCCTATGGGAATGAATTTGTGATTGCTTAAGCTCCATCACACCTTCCAACTACACTTCACAGAAATCTGCAGGTTGTGTGGCACATGGGAAGATGGGATTTTTGTATCTTCATCCTCTTTCCTGCCTCCTGATCCCTGCACTCAATTACCTGGTTGACTGGCCTGACTGGCAAGCAGTGATTGGCTGCTTTAGAATAGAGACTGAAATCTAAAAATTTTTAACAATAGTGGGCAGTGAGGCTAGAATGAAGGAGTGACTATGCCTGCTGGCAGGGTAGAGCTGGACAGGGGATGCTGGTGGTTGACAGGTGACCCCTCTTCCTCCCTAGAGAGAGGGCACCCTTAGGGATTGGGAGCACTTTTCTTGCAGCCACAGCTCTCTTTGTTTCCCTTCCCCTCACCAAAGTGGCAGACAGTTCCAAAGGGGGGAGAGAGAGGAGGAGGAAGAGAGATTACCAAGCTCCTGCCAGCTTTCCGCAAGCAATATTAATGGGGAAACTGGCAGGCAGTTGAAAGTCTTACCACTAGTTTTTTGCCCACTCATGGTCATTCTATTTCTCTATTTCTGAAATATCTTTGAAAAAATGACCAAAGAGATCCTGGATTGGCTTAGTTGATAAAGTTTTAGAAAAATTTGATGTGGATGTAAGATTCCCAATTCAGATGTTTATTATCAAATGAAGGCATCTGTAACAAATGTTATATTTTACAGGTTATGTGATAACAACTGTTTCTTACTGAAAAAATATTTTGATTGCTTATTTAATCTGTTAATTTTAATCTGATATATATTTCTCTTCCAGGAGAAACAGATGACAGGGAACAGGCAAAACTTGAAGTAAAAGTTTGGGATCCAGATAGCCACCTCACTGATCATCAGATTGACCAATTTTTAGTGGTAGCACGGTAAGATTTACATACCCAATTTGGACTTTGAATATGTAATGGAATGTGAAGTATTTGCTAATTTTTTAATAGTCAGGCTTGATGACATACTGAAATAAATTTAATTTTATAATCTGGTGAGATTCCAGTTTGACTATCAAATTTACCTCTTCCGTTCTGTTGCCATACTTTTTGAAACTTTGAGTACAGTCTTAAGCACAGTACTTTGAGTACAGTCTCAAACATAAGTATTACTCTGCTGGATTGGACATGTGGCCCTTATAGTCTAGAGGTCTGTTATTACCGTGATCAGCCAACTACACAAGGGAGCCTACTAGTCTCCCAGCAGATGGCCTTCAGAGGTACTCACATGACCATCAAGGCTAATAGCTATTGATCCCCATTATTTACACAAATTGACCTAATCTTTTCTTGGGACCAACCAAGCTAGTTGCCAGCACCACATCTTATGGTAGATAATTCCAAATTTTAATTGTGCATTTTGTCTGTCCCATTTCTTCCAGAATTCAGTTTCTTTGAATGAACTCTGGTTCTAGTATTTTAGAAAACATAACATAGTTTTCCCTTGTCTACTTTATCTATGTACACCATACAAACTTTCTATGCCTAAATCATGACCACTCTCATTCACTCATTTCTAAACAAAACATTTTCAAATGTCACATCCATTCTTCATAGAGAAGCTGCTGTCCTCTATAACATCTCTAATTCTACTATATCCTTTATGATGTATGGAGATCAGAACTTTACACAGTATTCCCAGTTGACATTGCACCATTGATTTATATAATAAATAACTTGCATTATGATATATCTCTCTTTTATTTTAGTTTTTTTAAATTTATATACTGTCCAACTCCCAATAATTGTTATATTAATGCCACTTCTTATTTCCGTAACATGACCTTTTATTAGCAGAGCCATAGTCTGTTTATATCTTCATTGAACTGTTTATATGACTTCAAGTCACTACTAGCTCCGACCTTGGATGTAAGAGCGAATACAGGTCTTAAATGACCTTTTCCGAGGCTATCATAGCTTTAGTCATTAAACAAACAGTCGTAAGTTGAGGGTTATCCCTAGTTCTGTGCCTACATCTTGAATTTTCAGTATCATTTTCGTTTCTTATACGTCTCATAAGTTAACCATTTCCCTGGGTTATTTGCAAATATTAGCTGTTGCTGTAACAGTTTAATTCGATTAGAGATATTTACCTTGCCTGGAGGTTCCTTTAATTCTTCTTCGTTTTCTTTTTATCTTATCCAAAATAGGCTGTATTTTCTCTCCACCCTTCTTTTTAACTTCAGTATTACATTATATGAAACAACCTCTGATAAAAGCTTTACTTGCATCCCAAACCATTACTAAATTAGTAACCTTTATTTAAGTTGTTTCCAAAAAATTCTGCTAATTTCCAATTAATTATTAATATTTCATTTCATTTTTGTGTAAAAGAAGTACAAAATAATAAGAGTTGGAAAGGACCTTGGAGGTCTTTTGGTCCAACCTTCTGCTCAAGCAGAAAATTATACAATTTCAGACAAATGGTTGTCCAATCTCTTAAAAACCTCCAGTGTTGGAGCACCCACAATTTCTGGAGGCAAGCCATTCCACTGATTAATTATTCTAACTGTCAGAAAATTTCTCCTTAGTTCTAGGTTGGTTCTCTCTTTGATTAGTTTCCATCCATTGTTTCTTGTCCTGCCTCAGGTGTTTTGGAGAATAGGTTGACCTCCTCTGCTTTGTGTCAGCCCTTTATATTGGAACACTGCTATCTTGTCCTTGCTATCCCTGGTCCTTCTTTCATTAAACTAGACATACCCAATTCCTGCAACTGTTCTTCATATGTTTTAGCCTAAAATCCCCTAATGATCTTTGTAGATTTCCTTTTATAACCCACACACAAGGGGTTGTAATAAAAAAAGTCTTTGGTAGAATCTCCATTAAAGATCCTATTAGCCAAATTCTTTGAAACCCACAATGCATCTGTTCTTGAGAAGGATCTTCATGTTTCTGAAAAGTAAGTATATTCTCTGGCATTACCATTTTTCTGTCTCTATGTATTCACTAACCCTAAACTGTCCATCAAACCAAAAGAAGTGTTTGTCAATTTGCCTTGAGTGACAGTAATGTATAAGTTTTTCCTTGTATGACTGCTATCATTTTGGTTGTTATCTTTTAAACCCACTTATTTCAGCTGTGGCCTTAAATGGGCAGCAGACAAAAAAAATATTTAAAAAGCAAAGTAAATACTGCTTAAGGAAAGGACGGATATAAATGCAACAGATAATTAATTACTTTGCTAATAGTGGTTGATAGACTATATCTCTGTGAAGGTGACTACCATTTATATTTCATAAGTAGCTAGTTATTCTCGGGGCAAGAATGTTGTTAATGTAAATACATAACTGTCATACATGAGCAAATGTATGAAAAGAAAGAAAGGTCAGATTACTGTTATACAGAGAAAAATACTCATGACAATCACTACCAAAAATAAACTAAAAATGTCAGCCAAGCAGCATTAATCACTCAGTAGTGGTCTTTCAATAAAGTGAAAGTAGTGGTCCAATTTCATATAAAAGTCCTCTTAAAATAATAAAGATTGAGGAAAATGAATAGTTGATTGCCTCACCCACTTTTGTAAATTATTACAAGAAACACAGTTTACCTTACTTTACAATATAAACCACCCAGTTGGAAAATACTATGGCATTTCTTTTGAAAGTGGATCTTAAAAAAATAAATTAAAAGAAAATATAATTTGAAATTTTTCTTGAAGTTGAAGGTTGACATATTGGAATAATTCTGAGAGTGGGTTAATTCATATATTTACTTATACTACAATATATTCTAAGGTATTCTTTGCACACTCTTGTTATGTGGGAAGCAAGAAATATCTCACAGTAGTTCACAAAATCCTACCAAGTGGATACATTTGACTGGTTCTGATATTACATGTTCTCTTAGCCATAGAAAAATAATGATTGCATAGTTGAGAAATAATTTAAAGAGTGTTCTTAAAATGCTATGTTTCTCTTTGTGTTATTGAGTCTTATAAAGTCTGTGATTGTATTGGAAATTATAAGAATCCCAATACAATACATCTGAGAAGAGCTTCTGGATTCAGAAATAGATGAGTTGTGGTGATCTTCAGTTAGTTGATTGCAGTATGTTGGACATGGGATTATTTTTGAAGACTATCCAGATATTACAGTCTGGACACAATTGATTCAAATTGTGTCTGCTAAGTTTCTATCTGAGAACATTCTTTGGTCACCAATATCAGAAGCAACTTAAAAGAGCATCACAAACCATTTCTCATTGTTGGTGCTTTTATTATCATGCATTTTTTAGCTGTTGGAACTGAAGCTTAAATTTTCCCAAATACAAATCTCACATGGTTCTCTTCAGTAAGTTTTATTAACAGCACAGCAATAGCATTTAGGTTTTTATATACTGCCCCATAGTGCTTTACAGCACTCTTTAGGCGATTTACAATATAAGCTTATTTGGATATTGTCTCAACAATCTGATTCCTCATTGTACTGACCTTGGAATTATGGATGGCTGAGTCAACTATGAGCCCCATCAGGATCAAACTCCAGGCTATGGGCAGAATTTGACTGCAATATTGCACTTTAACCACTGCGCCCCCAGGGCCTTAAGATGAAAGTAGTATTGATCCAAGGATTCTAGAAAATGAACACAAATCAAATTATCCCTATTATTGGTGCTGCTTCTCACAGTTTGTGAATTATTTCTCATAAGGAAGATGTGTCTGTTCGCTGATTCCAGGAGAGTTGTAGCTGTAGTTATCTGAATTCTTTTCAGCTTGAGAACCAATCCTTACACCTATTTTTCCAAGATCCTAATTGTATACTAAGGACTATAGACTTTATGCAAAGTGGAAAAAGGAGAAAAAGAGTGAAAAAATTAAAGTAATTAAAGTAATTAAAGTACTAAGAACTACAGTGCTAAGTGGAAAAAGGAGAAAAAGAGTGAAAAAATTAAATTATTTAACGAATGCAAGAATTAACCTAATCTATTTTTAAAAATTAGGAGTAAATCTGTTTAAAAAATTAAATGAAATAATAGCATTTTGTTGGTATTCTGTGTATCAAAATATAGATTAACATATAAATTAACATATTTTGTAGTAAAATTTTGCTTTTCATTGCCCAGTTTTATACATGCCATTTTAAAAGGAAGTCCCATTTAATACAGTGTACTAAATAAGTATTCTGTGCTGGATCAAATTCTACAAGTGTTTTTGGGAAAGCTTTGAAGTTCTATAATGCAGTTGAATGTGCATGCTAATCAACAATATATTAAGGAGGTAAAAGGATGAATTTCTGTCACTGTTTTAAAATTATCTCAGTTTCATTGTTCTCATAATGTTTCCCTTCTTCCTTCAGTGCTGTTGGTACTTTTGCACGAGCTCTAGACTGCAGTAGTTCTGTAAGGCAACCTAGTTTACACATGAGTGCAGCTGCTGCTTCCCGGGATATCACTTTGGTGAGATACTCTTTGAAATATACTTTCTTTGAAAGAATAGTTTGCTAAAGAGATAAATTAAATCCTGCCCTGATATGATTGATGATAAAGGCGTTTTGAGGGTTTTGCATATATACAATGGATGTAAAATATTCAACCCAATTCTTGCTATTTGCTTTATTAACTAATCTTAGCAGGTGGTGAGTTGTACTGGTTAATTGCTTAAAAATATTCTTTGATTTATTTAAAGAGAATTAGAATTTACAGAATGATGATGATTTTGCCAGGAATATTAAAAAAATAAAATTGTTATTTTTATTTTTTTTCCTATAGTAAATAATTTAGTATCTCCCTATGTTTATTGTATGTAGTGAAAAAATATGCAAAATTAGTATGCATATATCCAGTTGAACTGTACAAAGTATTCAGAAGAGGTATTTGTGATGTTTGAGAACATGAACAAATCACCAATGTCAACTGGTCCGTTGACAGTTGCAAAACAAAATGGCAGCTCAAAGCTGAAACTCCGAGGCTAGGAGGGAGATGTTTCGACATTTTCAAGAGTGTGGGGGTCAATTAACCATCCACAGACCCCCCTCCCAGCAAGCTGAGGTATTTTCGGCTCAATAGAGCTGTGGATGGAGCCCAAGGATAAAATCCGAGCCGAGCCCGAAGATCAGCTGTTTGTCAGTAAAAAGACTGAGGACGGTGGGGAGGATGTCAACATCAAAGCCTGGCTGTCATGACCGGGTCAACCACTGAGTCTAATACAGCTGATGAAATGGTTGGCGAGACGGTGGCAACAGCGACTCCGGATAGGGTGTTGATAATGATGCCTGGGCTAATAGGCGCTGCATGTAGCAACACGGCGGCGATGATGTCTATGGCAAGGGGGATTACCACAATGGCGAGGGGAATGGCGCTAATGGCAGCGACAGCGACGGCAACACCAGGAGGCTGCAAGAAAGCCCTCGTTGTTAATAGAGGAGAGGGCAATGCTGCAAAGGCTATAAATGTTAGGATCCCTTCAACCTCTAGGGATCTGTTGCACTCCTCTTTCTTGAAACTCTGAGGACTTATTAAACTAATTGAACTAAGTAGCCTGAGCAAAGTGATGGATAGGGACTGAGGATTACAATCTGGAGATGATGACTTACTCTCCCCCTCAACTGTCCCTCTCTCCTTTATCAGATCTAGATCTATTACGACCACTCAGCGTTAACTTGCAATCTTAGATCGATCTGCAGCTTTATTTACCACCTATTCCCCCAAGATTACCCTGATTATTTAACCCTAAATACTTTGTCCAGTGGCTCTGCCTTACTTTTTTGATCTAATCCTCGGCCATTGCTGGTATCAGGACTGGAGGAGATACAGACATCGAGAGTCTTGGATTATGGGGAGATAGACCACCTTCTCTTTGTTTGTTTCAAATGGTTTGGTCGCTGTGAGAGGACGACCCTTTGAGACCTCTACCTCCACCTCCTTTGGATGGACTTACTACAATCACAAGACTTCCCATCGTCGTGAGAGGGCGATGATGTTGTGATGTATTGACATTTGTAACATACTGGTCTCCCTTTTACATCTATTTCCTCCCTTATTTTAAATTACCTGTCTTAACCATCTCTAACACTCTTAGAAGAAAATGATCCTTCATCTCCTTCAACTCGCTCCTATCTTTGATGTATTCAACTGCGGAGCTCCTTGCACTGCGAGATTCCCCCCTCTTGCATGTCTGGCCCTCTCAGTTATCAAGGGCCGCCCTTGAGGACGGGTTTTGGAACCCTGAGAGGTGGTTTGCAAAAAACCGACGGCTTTGGGGTTTTTTAGATAAATCTTTTAAGTTCTATTTTAAGGGGTTCTGGGAGGGATTGTGGGAATGGATCTGGGGGGATCCATAAATCCACTGAAAGGGGTAATGGGTCTGATAATCATGGTGGGGAGGATGGGGACAGAAATCTGACAAGGATGCAGGGGGATGAAGCGATGGGCATTAGTATAGTAAGTGGGAGGGGCAGATATGACGGCTGCAGGGGGCCATATTATGTTTCGGGATTGCGCACTCGATGTTTACGAGCGATTGCCCACTCCGACCCCCAAAGCACTGCTCGTTTCCCGGGTTGTTCAGAGTCTCAGACCCTGGGTCTACGGCTGATGTTATGTAATGCCAGGTCAGTGGTAAATAAAGCCCCCCTCATTCATGATCTTATTTCAGAGGGGGGTGCTGACCTGGCAGGGATTACGGAGACCTGGTTAGGCCAGGAGGGAGGAGTTCCCCTTGTGGAAATGTGCCCGCCAGGTTTCCGTGCATTCCATCAGCCAAGGACTCAGGGAAGGGGTGGGGGAGTGGCAGCAATCATTAGAGAAAGTCTTTGCCCGAGGGAGGCCACTGTTCCTCAGATAGCTGGATGTGAGTCCCTCCTTGTGAAGTGGGGTCGGGGGATTCAGATGGGCCTACTGATTGCGTACCTCGCTCCCTGCCACGTAACAGCGGTCCTGCCTGAGCTGCTCGACATTATAGCCGGGGTGGCGGTGGAAACCCCCAGACTTATTGTTATGGGGGATTTTAACCTGCCATCTGCTGGTGAGATGTCGGAGATGGCTCGGGAGTTCATGGCTTCCATGATGGCCATGGACCTGACCCAGGTAGTTCAAGGCCCCACCCACTTGGGGAATCACACTCTGGACTTGATTTTTGTCTCTGATCAGTGGCTGAATGATTTAAGAATAGGGGATATAGACATCAAGCCCTTGTCATGGTCTGATCATTCTCTCCTTCACATGGACTTTCAAGTCACTTCCACCCACCGCAGGGAGACGGAACCAACCAAATGGTTCCGTCCCAGGCGCCTGATGGACCCCGAAAGGTTCCTGATGGAGCTTGGGCCATTTCCTGAGACTCTGGCTCACGACTCGACTGAGGACCTGGTAGTCGCCTGGGACAGGGCGGCTACTGGGGCCTTGGACCGCGTCGTGCCTTTGCAGCCTCTGACCCGATGCCGATCTCGTCTAGCTCCTTGGTTTTCCGAGGAGCTGAGAGAGATGAAGCGTCGGAAAAGACGCCTGGAGAGCGATTGGAGGACAAGCCGATCTGAATCTGACCGAACACAGGTGAGATCTTATATTAAGACCTACCTAGTGGCGATAAGAGCGGCGAAGTCTAGCTACTTCTCCGCTCTTATTGCATCTGCAGAGAACCGCCCAGCTGCTCTGTTTAGGGTGACCCGCTCCCTACTTCAGGTGGGGGTACGGGAAGATCCCTTAAAGGGTCGAGCTGAGGATTTTGTACAATTCCTGCATGATAAAGTCGCTCAGATTCGGGAAGGCCTGGACTCCGATTCGGTAGATCCAGGGGAGGAGACGGGGGCAGGTCTTGAGAGCGTTATCTGGGAAGAGTTTGACTCTGTGGCTCCTGAGGACGTGGACAGGATTCTGGGCAAGCTTAACGCTGCCACATGTTTATTGGACCCGTGTCCCTCCTGGTTGGTACTGGCCTCCCGGGAGGTTACACGAGGCTGGCTCCAGGGGATTATAAATGCTTCTCTGAGTGAGGGTGTCTTTCCCGCCGCCTTGAAAGAGGCGGTTGTGAAGCCCCTCCTCAAGAAGCCTTCCCTGGACCCGGCTATATTATCAAATTATCGTCCAGTCTCCAATCTTCGCTTTGTTGCGAAGGTTGTTGAGAGTGTGGTGGCATGACAACTACCCCAATACCTGGATGAAGTTGTCTATCTGGATCCGTTCCAGTCGGAAACGGCATTGGTCGCATTGGTGGATGATCTCTGGAGGGCTCGGGACAGAGGTTGCTCCTCTATCCTGGTCCTATTAGATCTCTCAGCGGCTTTTGATACCATCAACCATGGTATCTTACTGCACCGGCTGGAGGGGTTAGGAATAGGGGGCACCGTGCTTCGGTGGTTCTCCTCCTTCCTCTCTGACCGTTCGCAGTTTGTGTTGGCAGGGGGGCAGAGGTCGACCTCGAGGCACCTTATTTGTGGGGTGCCGCAAGGGTCAGTCCTCTCACCCCTTCTGTTCAACATTTATGTAAAACCGCTAGGTGAGATCATCCGTGGTTTTGGGGTGAGTGTTCATCAGTATGCTGATGACACACAGCTATACATCTCCACCCCAGACCACCCCAATGATGCCCTTGCTGTGATGTCCCGTTGCCTGGAGGCCGTGCGGATCTGGATGGGGAGAAACAAGCTCAGACTCAACCCCTCCAAGACCGAGTGGCTGTGGCTTCCGGCGTCCTGGTATAGTCAGCTGGTACCATCACAGACAATAGGGGATGAGATCTTGCTCCCCACAGAGAGGGCCCGCAACTTGGGTGTCCTGGATTCACGGTTATCTTTAGAAGATCATTTGATGGCCGTGGCCAGGGGTGCCTTTTATCAGGTTCGCCTGATCCGCCAGTTGTGTCCCTTTCTGGATCGGGACGCCTTGCGCATGGTCACTCATGCCCTAGTTACCTCCCGTATGGACTACTGTAATGCTCTCTACATGGGGCTCCCCTTGAAAAGCACCCGGAGGCTCCAACTGGTCCAGAACGTAGCCGCACGGGTGATTATGGGCGCAGCTCGTTACGCCCATGTAACACCTCTCCTACGCGAGCTGCACTGGCTCCTGGTGGTCTTCCGGGTGCGATTCAAGGTGTTAGTTATCACCTTTAAAGCGCTCCATGGCTTAGGACCTGGGTACCTACGAGACCGTCTTTTGCCACCAATAGCCTCCCACCGACCAGTTCGTTCTCACAGGGAGGGACTACTCAGGGTACCATCAGTCAAATTATGTCGACTGGCGACTCCCAGGGGGAGGGCCTTCTCTGTGGGGGCTCCAACCCTTTGGAATGAACTGCCCCCGGAGATACTGAATATCCCTGATCTCCGTGCTTTCCGCCGTGCCCTCAAGACCCTGATGTTCCAACAGGCAGGGCTAAACATACAAACATGTGAATGATTTTTTAAATGTTATCTAATTCTGGGTTTTATTTAATTGACCAAACTAAGTAATAATTTTAA